TTTTATGTTGTTTGTGAGCCCCTAACCTAAGACATTTTTTATCATTATATGACACAAACAATAAAGTTTTTTTAATCTTGAATCTATACACCAAAACCTGCGTGAGAAAATAAGATCAAAACAGTGACGGAAATAAAACTGTGAAATTCCCTTTTGGTTTGATTCAAAAACACAAACACACAGTAAGTAGGACAGAGAGACCATAACATGTAAATCAACTAGCTGGGACAGACCAGAGGGTGTTTCCATCTGAAGTAAATACACCTCGATCTAAATCAAGAATATGTTCTTTATGTTTTATATTGGAAATATTCTATTGGACTTATATTACACAGAACATCTCCTCTCTCATCCATCGCTGACTATGGAGGAGAATTTTTAAAGTTTTCTCACTTTTTGTGTATTTGAAAGGCTTTTTGGGGAGGATCACCTTGTCTTGGAGGGCCGTGTACGTTGGCAGTTGGTAAATGCCATGTTTGGGGAATGCAAATAAACTTTTATTTTTAGATAATGGAGTTCATCATCCCTGTTTTATAGTGGTGCCTGAAGAATAAACACTCATACACACACATATAATCCAGGATATTCAGATTCACACACTCATAAGCTGCGTGCAAAATGTCCGTTTATGGTTTCGGCTTTTCGTTGAGCCTCTGCTGAATTCCTCTCTGTCAGTGATCAGGTTCTTATACAAATAAAATGACTTACATTGACTTGACTTTATGTTCTTTATATTTGTAGAGAAAAATACTTAATTCTGTAAGGTTTTCTCGGAACTACTAAGAATTAATGTTTGACACTCATCTATAGACCTCATCCATGATATATTTTTAAGGCTGTGATTAAACCGATTTTCTTTGTTGCTCAGTGTACATTAACTTTCAAGCCCCTGCAGATAAACACGTAGTCTTCTTCATAAAATGGAACAGTTTGAACGTAACTCAAGACAACTCACCAAGAAAAGCTGAAGGCGATACGGTGCCGTTGCTGCGAGAAACCATGACGCTGATGCCAGTCTCCACGAATGGAACGGAAAACTCTACGACCTCCGACCTCTCTTCGTTAATGGTGAGAGAACCAATGGCCATGTCAGCCCTGTTGGATACCACCTGGAAAACAGGACGCCTGATATTAGAATGATTTTGTGTGACAATAAGTTAAAAGACTAAAAGGATATTTTTACCAAATAAGGCAATATTTAAATTAGATCTCATCAGTCCTGCACCAACTCTGTATCATTGTTTTTATTGAAAAATATAAGATTTGTGCACTCTACGCTATCCTACAAAGCAACATCTTAAGACTGCGCTGTACACAGTGCAAAGCCTTCTATGAGAAAAAAAAAAGAGTCTTTGAAAAGAGAAATCCAAAGCACTCTTCCTCAGTGATGTTTGAAAAAAATACTTCATACGCTTTGTCAATGAACTGGATGTAAATTCTAGTGTGTTTCCATTTTCTTCTCTCTTGGCATGTGGTGTGAAACTGGGCTGTGTTCCTCCTCAGAGGTCTTCCGACAGCTGTAAATGAGGCTCAGGTGGTCAGAAGGTGAGGAAGTGAGGGGATTCACAGCTCTGCCGTGTTTCACCTGGCATGAAACAGAGGTTACTTGACTGCAGCTGAGGGACCGTGGAGGTTAGAGAAACTGGCTACTGACCAAAAGTTCATTAGTCTGAGTCCTGGCCTGGCCCCAAAAGTCTGTGAAGACAAAAGGCTCCGCGGTCCCTCACCAGACACCACTGAGACGCCTTTCAGTAGGCTCTTAAAGTCCCAATCCTTTAAGTCTTCTTTCTCTGTTGACATCTTAAGTGTCCAGCTCTCATTGATTTATTGTTGTGTTGATGGACTGCACTTCCCAGTTATCACCTGTCAATCAAAGAGTAGTGGCACTGTGATGATGTCTTTATCTCAGGATTTTTCTGTTGATGCAATTTGGGATTCTGCTGCTGCCACTTTTGTCTTTGTTCAGCTTTGCTGCTCTGCTGGAGAGCCGAAATGAAACTAGTTCAGCCACTCAAGCTAGTTCAGATGTCTGTGATATGGCTGTAGTGATAAGTGGACATAGAGAGACAAAATGTAGACGTTCTCAGACAGCAGAGATTATAAATAAAAAGTCGGAAAAATTACAGAAATTCAGATCTTCCCAATTGTTTGTTAATTATTTGTTACCAATAAATTGTTAATGTTGACAGAAACATAAAACGTCTCTCTGCTCAACAAGGAATTCTTCCTGAGTACTACCAACTAGACTGTTTAACCCCAAAATTCCACCGGGCACGGCTTTATAACATTGCGTCTGCGACTTGGTTTGGCTCTGATCCGTCTGTCTTCAAATCCCACTGAGAGTCTTTCAGAAGCAAAGCGTCTTCAGAGCATGTTGCCTGCCTGGAATTGTTCACTTGTGTATTTTGTCCTTAAAAAGGAGTGTTTCGCCACTTTAAATCTCCTCTTTCCTGCCTCTGACTGATTAAGTTCTGGCAAGGTGCCGGAGTCTCCACGTGGCATTTTATGTTTAAACTTGACTGGATTCTCTATGCTGTTTCTGTGTTTGATTTCCTGCCAGTGCTGCTCTACAAATAAACGTCTTACCTCAAACTAATTTGAGGTAAGACGTCAAAATCAAAGTCAATCTTTGTGAATAACTGACCTATGTACCGCTACCACAACTTAGTGTCATCTGAAAATGATGGCTATGTCACCAATTACTGACTGGTAGGACAAAACAAACTAAAATATTGCCCCTTCCAACAAAAAAAGTTCAATGAATTAAATGAAATGTCGATTTAGTCTGACTAACCCTAACCAAATAAGATCTTCATAATTGTGAATATTTAATCACCTTTTTTGGCTAAGTATTTTAGCTTAGCAATGCAGTTAATAAAGCTTGATTGACGATTTATTTGAAAACACTTTTGTTTGGCACATTCCCATGCCGGTGGAAATCTCTGAAATCTGTTTTGACAGTTTGTTGCTGAAATTGTTGCAATTACAGACAATGCTGTTGGAAACCATAACCCAGAAAACTATGAGCAAGCATGTAAAAACAAATAAAGACCAATTTGGTTTTGTCTTACATTTAAAGTTTTCTTTTTGGAAGCTGATGTTTGAGATCTCAGGATTTTGCATCAAGCTGGAGAGTTTTTCTAATCAACTCATACAATTCTAGTGCATTTCCATGAAATGACATCATAACGTAATTACATCATATAATTAAATATATGTTCGCTGTGATGGATTACCTATATCAAGCAGGTTTCAGTTCTTTGCATATTATATCATTATTCATATCACAATTCATTATAATACTACAGCATAATACAATCATGAAATTAATGGGAATTAATGGTGGGCTGAAAGGCAGGAGGAAGGAGAGTGTTTGCTAAAGAAAATGTGCTGCTGAAACAACGTGTGTTCCTTCTCTGGATAGTGCAAGAAGAAACTTTTAACGTTTACTTTGTAAAATCAATAGTTTGTCTTTGAAGCCTTCAGAGACACTTTAAAGTACAAAGTTGTCGAAGAGTATGATGACGCACAAGTGTTACACTTTTGATACCGTATGATTAGCAGCTTTTCTGCCTGTCAAAATCAATCAGTCCGTGGTAATTATTCCATTTAATTCAACTAGGTCATTTGAAATACTTGAATACAGTCTGAAAGCAACACCTGTGACACTCCTGTTCAGGAAGGAAGTTTATATTGTGAACAAAAAATATTATAACGGAATGATTCATAGCTTAGGATGACAAAATGTTAAGGACGTCAGAAATTACTGCCTTATTGAGAGGCATTCATGTAAGGAAGTACAAAGAGTGAAAGACTCAATGACATTATGAGAAATAGCAGAAATGATTGTCCAAGCGTAGGCTTTCACTGGAGAGACAAGGACACAAGACGAGCCCATGAGCCTTGGTACAATGTTACTTTGTCAGGATAAGAGAGAGGTGTTTAGTTAATAGAAAATAATACAATGGAAGTAAAGAGAAAAAGAGTACTCCGATCAAGGATCCTTTTGTATTCGCAATAAAAATGTTAGGTAACAGGAAACAACCAAGGACAGGAGGATGTGAGATGTGAGACAGTTTTCATACAGAATCAGCTGTCCCTGTGCACACATGTTTGTCTGCCACCAACTTAATGAGTTACTGACAGATGCTGGGCAGCAGGCAGCTGAGGACAGACAGAGAGAGATAGAGAGAGAAAGAGAGACCACCTGCACCCACAACGACATCCGGACTGTGAGCAAATAGTAATATGTCAGTGTTTGGTTGATTTTAACACACATGTGCATGCTCACACACTCCCACACATATATCCCATACTGTGTGTGACCCTGTGAAACACTAACCCTCAAGCTGGTTTTATACTTGTAGCATTCAGAGGTTACATGCTTAGAATTTGCTAATACAGCGTACGCTATGTTCGAAGTTACTAAGGTAAGTAACATAAGTACATGAAATGTAACGCAAGCCATGTGCAGACTTTCTTACTCTTCATACTATGTCACCTGATTTTAATGGCGGGGGTGTCCAGGAATGGCATTAGAGGGGTACCTACGGTGTCATACTTTGAAGTGGGGGAACACTGACCAAGCTGCAGTATTTGACGACTTGAGAGCGAGACTGGGTTGCTATGCTTTAGCTAGCTTGTACGCCAAAATCCAACTTTATGCTGGGGTTACAGTAACTAAGGAGAACTGTGGAGACCTCAAGAAATGACCATGTCAAACTTTTTTGATCTTGCAATGCCATTCGTGGGGAATGTTAACTTTTGAAGAAGTGAGCATGATGATAACCCAATGTTTCAGAAATGTCTTCACTCTAAAGGTCTAAAACTGAAACTGGTCCTCACAAAGATAGAAGTACAAGACCACACACACACACACACACTGTGATAATTTGCAACCCCTGTCTAACCCCATGTTAAACTAACTTCATTAATCCAGCCACCAGAAGGGGATTGGCATCATGGAAACAGCAGAGTATCTGCCAACACACACACACACACAAACACACACAGCCATGTACAAACAGTCACACAGTGTGTGTTGTCCTCTCTCTCTCTCAGTTTCTCCACCACTAATCTTTCTGACAGACTCCCTCCATATTTTCTCTCTTCTTCTTCGATTTTGGTCCAATCCTCTCTTGCTGGGTCGCGTTTTAAAGGATTTGAGGCAAGATAAAAAGAATTTCACGGGAGCACTCGAATCAAAACCCCTTTTTGTAAACACAACATAACAAAAAAAAACAGAATGAGAAAAACGATGATGCTACTGTACAGGAAAAATAGAGAATTAAAAACATACTACAATATTTCACTGAGACACACATAAAAAAAAGGTCACGGTGTGTTTGTGGTCTAAACTTTAGAATAAACTCCCAGAGGAAGTGCAGTCTGCACGCTGTGTCTTCTTTTAAGTCCCAACTGAACACAGCTTCATAAACTTGCATTTAATCTCTCACCCATATTGCTTTGACTGTGATGTTTATTTGTTTGCTGCAAGTTCTGTATTGCCTTTTAATGTTTCATGATGGGCCATTTTTTTGTATGTTTAAACACTTTTGTAATTTAAAAGAAATTGCTTATCATTTTGGAAAATATGCTTTTTGCTTTTTTTTTCAAAAAATTTGAGGCTTGATGGAAATCTTAGGTGTGTGTGTGTAGCATAGAGATGGAAGCAGGACGAAGTTAGCCTGCCTTAACACAAGAACTGGAGGCATGGACAATGAGGTAGCTAGGCTTATCACAAATGATAATTTTTACATATATATTTATGTATAGGTTGAACAAACAAGACACAAATGCAAATAAGACTGTAGACTAACTGTAACTGTAGACATGTTTTTTTCCTCTGCTTCCAGTCTTTATGCTAAGCTAGGTTAACCACATGAGTGGCTCCAGCCCCATACTTAACACACAGACTTAAGATTGGTACTTACTTAACTTCTCACTCATGCAAAGAAAGCAAATATTTCTATATTCCATTAATAAATTAATATTTATTGATTAATGAATTAATTCATAATGTGCACATTTTGTGAAATATTGACTAAGAAAACGGGAATACATCAATTATTACTGTTTCAATATGTAGCTTAAAATGTGGACACCTCAAACAAAGTTCTGGCCATGTACTAATAACAATAGTACACTCCCTGTAACATGCTTTATTTAACTTTTTGGGGTTTGTGTATCAACATTTGGAATCAATGCTGCAATGCTTTAGTAACACATTATTGTATGTCCTGATTTTATTAATTTACAATGAGGTTACTTTTGATTATCTGTACAATTAAACCTTCAAAGGCTTAAAAGATACCATTTGTGGCGACTATGATTCAACATAGCACAATACTAAGTTGCTAAATTGGTAGCATGAATCCTGTTATTACTCAGAATCATGCCAGCCATTTTCAGAATAGAGCAAACTGGAACTGGGAGGAATGGATGGTTGGATGTATGGATCCTCACCTCTCCGACCATGCCGTTCCACTCTCCGTCAATGTTCTTTCCATGCCTCCCATTGGTCACCAGGTAAAGGTCATAGGTGAAACCCACAATTTTTGCCAGTCGCTTTAGTACGTCGATGCAGAACCCTTTGCAGCAGTGCTTCATGGGCCCCGTGCCATCCACCACCAAACTGTGGAGATGATGTGGGAAAAGACATATAGGTGAGATATGTAAACATGCTTTTTAAAATGTTTTATCAAGGGCACTTTTGACCTGGATGGGCTGCTTGGCTGAGAGTGTGCTGCTAGGGGAGTGAGAAAAGGAACAGGTGAGTACCTAGGAGACACAGGGAGAACGGGAGACTAAGGAAGACAAGTAATGTAATTGCAGAGGGACTGTGAGTGGATCAATACTGACAGTTTTGGCTGTTGTGGTTGGAGAGGCAATGCTTGACAGGTCAGAAAGCTCAGCAGGAAAAGTGCTGCATTATTAAAACTCAATTTTTCGCTTTTGGATGCCATCTAAATTAGAAAAATTCTGCGATGGCCTCTGAATGCTTCTTTCCTCTGAGGCTTCATCTAGTGAACACTTCACCCTAAGACCCTTATGAGCAAGTTTCACATATGGGAATCCAAGTACATTTTGATCACTATCAGTCAAGTGGCTGCAGTGTCCTCTATCAGCTGTCCATACCAAGTGCCCATTTGAGGGTCCCTGAGACACGTAGCTATGACAACCTCCCGGTTTTGTTACCAAGCAACACAACTTGCGCATTTGGAAAATTGTTTCTCGAATACAAAGTAACGTCAAACTTATGAGAGTGGGACAATTAACACCTCCATACTTATTAAACATTTTTATACAGTTGTAAAAGTATTTTTTCTGCAAATAAAGTGTCTTATTTTCTTAGCAAAATGAGAGGAATTTAAAAAAATTTACTGTGTTTTAGCCACATTCTTCTTGTGTATGTGCAAATAAATTCACTTTATTGACATAATGTATTTCTGGTTCTTTGACCATTTCCTTACACAGAACTATCCCACATGGTGTACAACAACACAAGTGACATGACCTTGGTGATGATGACAGGAGAAAATAAAAGCATAACACAGTTTATCCACTGCACTACAGCTACATCAGAAGAAATAAGCTGTGACAGGTAAAAAAAGATAACAATAAGAAAATATAAGATATATATATAAGAAATATAATATAAGAAAAAGAACAAGACACAACAACACATCTGAAGAAGACAAATACATTTGGGGGGACAAACAGTGTCAAAATAGGTTGATTAACACAAGAGCAAACTTCTGTCTCAGCCAATAAAATTGATGGAGGATGAACTCGTTATCTTCCTGTTGGCCAGGTCATGTGCTGGCAGGAAGGAAGCTTATCTTGGATAGACCAGGAGCCCAGAGCCCAGAGCCCAGAGCGCGCACACACACACACACACACACACACACTCACGCTCTCTTTTTCTCCCTCTGACTTTTGCCTCAAATGAACTGAAATTAAATCTTAACTACAAGTAAAAATACTTTTCTACTTTTTAACCATTGATGTCCAGATCGCAAACCGATGCTCACTGTCTGAACAGCCCAGTTGGTTAACATGGGCACTGAAAGGAAGTGAGCAGCACTTCGGGGCGCTTTGCTGTGCTTCCACCTCTGGTGTCCCTGGTGATTGCTACAACAATGCAGATGAAAAGTGTACATGTACATGAAACAGGAGAAAATCATAAAGGATGTTAATGTCCTGCATATTGTATATATGTACGTAAAGAAAATACAATTAATATTCAGTTATTTAGAAATCTGGATTGAATTGGTATCATGTTGTTTCTATCTTTGAGTATATATAATGTATGTAAGTACAGTGTGACTCAAACTAGACTGAATCACTCCACATGCGCTGATGCAGCAGGGATCTCTCACTCCATGATTAAAAATCTATTGATGATATATGATTCTATGGATTGATTAAAAGATAATTAACCTTACTTTGCTGTATCATTTCAGGTTTCATGGTTTTATTGATAAGCTGTAAGAAAACCATGCCCTGTTCTTAACTGCATTTATTTAGGTGGTACCATATGACTTTAATGTATCTATACTGCTGTGAGGAAACTTAATTTCCTCCCTGGGATAATTAGGTTATTGTGCAAAGTTTTAATCTATTGATCCCAGAAGGAAAGTCTTTCTTTAAGCCTATCCCTCCCTGTACACAGCACCTGGAGATGGTAAAGATTTACTGTCTTGTTCATAGATGCTTGGCCCAACATTTCAATTCCACAGGGATCAGAGCCTGGAAACTGGTTTCCATCCTGGTTTCAGGATGGTTTCTATTTAACCACTTATCAAAACTTCTTTGCTACTTTTGAATTAAGTTTATAGGCTGATAAGGGTTTAGAGCAGAAACCACTAGGAGACATCAAGGTAAGAAATCACTTGTTATGTACTAAACCGACTCCTGTTGTGTATAAAATAGTTTCAGTCCATTTTAGGAAAGAGAAATGTGACTCTGCACTACACTCTACACTCTGTTTCTCTCTGCTTATGGCCATAATAAACTGTAGGTCATCCTGACCTGCCACTTTCTTAGGTGAGTTACAAATCCATGTTTCAACTCCATTCTCACTTACTTTCATTGCAATGTTTTTGTTTTTCTCAATTTTGCTTTTATAATGCTGAATAGTTTTAAACATCCCATCATCCTCGCTCAATGAGTCACATTAAACTACCAGAAAATGGACTGTACACCACTGTGATGATGAAGAAAGTGTGCAGGTGACATTTTGCTTTAATGGCTATAATGGGCAGTTTGGCTGCCATTAAAAGCCAAGAAGGTAAAAAACTGTTGCTGTGAAACCTGTATTTTACAGCACCAAAAGAGCTATGCAGTGCAAGTCTGCAGAAATGTTTTCTGGTACTAAGAACAACCTTTGACCATGTACATTTGGAAGGCATGTGTCATAATTAAAGATAATTATTAAGAGTATTAAATAAATATAAATGTACATGCCAGACATTTAAAACTGAACTTTGCAGAGTTTGGATATAATTAAAAGCAAATGCACCAGTGAAAGAAATGGTGATGAAACTTGCCGACTGTGTTTTATACTGGAGGCTGTTACCTGGTGTTCACGGGCATTCGACAGGGTACAGAGTCCCGGATACATGAGCTGGTGCCCGGATCAGCCGGTTCCACAATGACAAATGGCCTCTCCTCCAAAGTAACCACTCGGAGGTGCTGGGCATCATCCAGAGGCTTCAGGAAGGAGCCGTAACGAGACCAGGGATGGTAACGAAGACGCAGGTGGCCGTTCTCCCACCAACCAACCTGAATGGGCATAGACACACAAACACAGATGCTCGGGTTTTTAGCTGCTGGGCAACAGTGGCTTAGAACACACTGCTGATCAATTTGGCAGTTTTAATTCATGTTAGGGAGCATTTAAGTCATTTCATCTGATCAGTTTTGTATTTCAGCCTAGCTAATGTCATCTAGTTGGTAAGCTAACTATATTACCTGATATGACAGCTAAGTATCTCTACCTTGCTGTTAATACATCTTAATTGCATACAACCTAATAAGCCTGTGTATGAAACATAATCTATAAAATTAGGCTAAATTTGGTCAAAAAAGCTTTTCTAGATTACAAGGTTACATAAACTTTGTTTCCATAAGATTTTAAGGACTACACATCAATGTTTAGCTAGGACCTCAAACATACTACTGTGATTTAAATGCAGTTAAAACAATGGTCTTTAATAATTTAGATATTAAAAAAAATCTTTAATTTTTCAGCCAAAATCAATTTGGTATTAATGTTAACACACAAAAATCCACAAATCCATGCTTGGGAAGCAATACATCCAAACTAGCTTTCAAAGTAACAATCTTATTTTAAATGGACATGCCCTGATTTGTGTCCAAGAATACAAAACCACTGGTCCAGTTATTTGAATTGCTGGGTACCTTAAT